GCGGCCCCTGCGGCCGCGCTGCGGCTCTGCGTGCGCTGTGGATGGGCGATGGTGAGGCAAAGAAGCGAACCTCCTGGTCTTGCTTTTCTTGCTTCGCGTTTTTCCAGTTCCAAAGGCTAGACAGAGGTCGTTGCACTTCTCTGGCTTGATGGATGATTAAAGGGTTTCGGGTTGGGGGGATGGTTGAGAGCAGCTGAAAGTTTCCGAAGAACTGGGTCACACCAGCTCTGCGCGCTCTTCACCTCTGGGCGATGGAAAGTGGCGAACAGTCCCAGGTGCCAGGTGGTGGTTGCGAATGCACCGACCGGGCCCCTGTGTCTGACAGTGTCGCCTGAGAAGGGTTTCTAGTGGAATAGGGTTGACCTGTGTGTAGTTTTTAAAAAGCATCGATTTTAGGAAGAAAGGAAAGTAGGGAGAGAGGGAAGGAGGAAAAGAAGAAAGAAAAGGTGGGAGGAAGGAAAAAAGGGAGGGAGAAAGGAAGCTGTTAGAAAACAGAGTAAAGCGGGTTTTACACTGATTGTTAGGGCCAAGGAAGGGGGTTTATGGGAAGGAGGTGTTGTTCTTTGGTGGCGTTTGTGTGAAGGGAGCAGGGCCACGGCTCTGGTAAGGGAGGGGAAGGTGGACAGAGAAGCCAGCCACTCTTGTAATCTTAATTGCAGATGAATTTTAGGATGTGTTTCTACTGTTTTTCTCTGTTGGCAGTAAATCAGTTGTTTAAGGGAATTGCTCATCACATCCATCACCTAGAATACTAGCCAACTGCTGGAAGCCCTCCCCATTTTCCACAACCTGATGTATTTCACCTTCGTCATTTAAAACAGCACGACACATGTTTTAGGGGCCTGATTGAAGATTCAGCTCATAATTTTGCTGTCAGTTTCAGTGAAATGTTATAAACCTGTCAGATTATTTCTTAAACTCTAGTTTTGTTTTGTTTTTTAAATCTTTTTTTCTACCTTCCTTCCTCTTCTTCCTTCCTCCCCTCTCCCCCCTTCAACTGTTTTCTTTCAGCTAGAAACCTTGAAGCATAGTCCAAACTTCTGATAGAATACATCTACTAACTTTCTATTATAACATAGTAGTGGTATGGTCACCAAAGGAGGAACACACGAGGTCGAATGTGGTAAAGAATTATAAATGTATTAGATCATCTGGAGACCAGATGGGCTGAGCCCCAAAATGGTACCAGCACCCAGGAACAGGGAGTCAGGGATTTTAAAGGGCTCTGGATGGGCTTTTTTGGAGGGTAATTCTCTGGGCCTGTCTGGTCTGGATCCTGGGCAACTCTGGAGGGGAAAGTTACTGGTCTTAGCAAATGGAATGTGGTCTAAGCGAAAGAGAATGTTGGTTGTGAAGTGATCTAAAGGCCAGTTTCCCAGGGGGTTGGGGGGGGGGGGGGGGCCCGTTTCCCGGGGTTGTGGGGGGGGGGAGGCGGGTATTGATTGGATTATCTGATCAGACCTAACAAGTAGCTGTTACATTTTCAACGCTATTCTCAATTCCGTTCTATATGCTTGTTAAACTCTCTAATTTTTGTTTCCCCAAATATCACTTATTCCATTCAGGGGTTTCCTTAAATGCTTTTGTACTATTTTGTGGCCATGATAAAACTCTTTAGGTCAGAATTTTCAATTTTTGATTGTATATTAGCTTCAATAAGTTTAGTTCCTTCTAGATTGCATTTTTTTTTTCCTTTTGGGAGGATGTTTAGTATCTCAAGACCTATGCTGCTGGGCCTTGTCCACAATTCATCTGGCTCATTGCTCTAGTTTCCCATGTTTACATTAGCCTTAAATAATGCTCCACTCCCAATAATGTCTGTTTTCTAATTATTAATTGATCAGAAAAAACTTATTTAAAAATCACTGTACAATCAGTCTATCTTAGTTAATATGGATGACACTTAAGAACAATAAAACAGCCCTAGCTGGTTTTGCTCAGTGGACAGAACATCTGCCTGTGGACTGAAGGGTCATGGGTTTGATTCTGGTCAAGAGCATGTACCTCGGTTGCAGGCTCCCTCCCCAGCCCTGGTTGGGGGCTTGTGCAGGAGGCCACCAATCCATGTGTCTCTCTCACATGGATGTTTCTCTCTCTCAGTCTCCCCCCCCTCCCTTCCACTCTCTCTAAGTTAATCCAGCCAAGCACCAGGAATGAATACAACTCGGGCCACCCAAGAATGCACATAATCTCCTTTGTCTTGACTTTTAGTAAAACTTCCTGTTTTTTGCTGTATAAAATAAATAAACTGTATCGGCTCTGGGTCACTGTTTCTGTCCCTGTCTCATCATCAGAGACCTCTGTGTCTGTCTCTGTCTTTCATTTTCTCAATCCCTAGCCACTCCTACTCAGGGACCAGTGTTGGACATGGAGAAGAGAGACATATTTACCAGGGGTGACCAGGCTGGCAGGGGAGGGAAGTTAGGGGCTATCAGGCTGGCAGGCAGAGGTGGTTAGAGGCGATCAGAGAGGCAGGGGAGCAGTTAGGGATAATCAGGCCACCAGGCAGAGGTGGTTAGGAGTTATCAGACAGGCAGGCAGGCAGGCAGGCTTTGAGGTTAGGGGTGATCAGGCAGGCAGGCAGAGGCAGTTAGGGGCAATCAGGCAGGCAGGCAGAGTGGTTAGGGGCCAGCGGTCCCGGATTTTGAGAGGGATGTCCCTGAAGGGTCCCAGATTGGAGAAGGCAAGCTGGGCTGAGGGACCCCCTTCCATGCACGACTTTCATGCACCAGGCCTCTACTTTCACAATAAACATGTTACACAGGAAAGAAACACTTACCTGTTTTTCCCAGGAAATATCTATGACATATAGTAAATACATTCTACCAAGATATTCCAGGCTGGTATTGATGGGCATCTATAAACAGAAGTCACTGGGTCTACAGTTTAAATAGTCTTGATGTACGACCAGAGGCTTTCAATGTTAAAACCTTTTTCTTGGTACTTTCTTTGCATGCATTATGAAAATATTCAATAGACATTTAAGAAAAGAGAATATCAGACATAGAAAGGATATTTATTATTTTGAGGCAAGCTTTTATTAAAAAAATAAGCTACATTATATTACACAATGTAAATATGAGTAAGACTGAGCACGCATATTCATTCATAAAAGTAGACTCAGGTCTGGCTGGTGTGAGGTCACAGTTTGATTCCCGGTCAGCCGATCAATGATTCTCTCTCATCATTGGTGTTTCTCTCTCTCCCTCTTCCTTCCTCTCTGAAATCAATAACAATATATATATTTTTTAAAAGTAGACTCAGCATCTGGAACACACACACACACACACACACACACACACACACGCACACATGCACACACGCACACACACACACATACATACACAAAGCCAGAAAAAAACAAAATAGGTTATTGAACTACCAAAAGAGAAACAATTCACTTCAAATATGTAAATTCATATATTTTTACCCTTAGATAGACCCCTCAAATTCTCTCTCAAGCCTATGTACTATGACTGTTTACATAGTTTTAACTTTCTTCTTTATCTATTTTTCATGGTAACAGGATATCAATAGCAACCTGTGGGTTGGAGAGAAGAAAATGGCGAGAGGTAGGTGCTTTACTACCACAAGGAGTACCTCCAGAGGGGAAAACACATTAAATAACATACACAAATCTTCTAAAAGTGTACTATATTAGCTTGGAGATATTTAATAGAGAGACAAACAGTTTTAGATGATTAAGAGTCTAACAAAACATGTAAAGTCATGGACTTTGAATCCTACTGTCTTCACTTACTAGCTACGTGATCTTAGAAAAGTTCCATCACCTTCATGTATCTCATTTACTTATCTGCGAAATGGGAGTGATGTTTCACAGGATTTTGAAAGGACTGATTTGCTCTCCAAAAATAACTTAGAGTAGTATCTAGTAGCACATAGCAAGATCTCAAGCAAAAATATCTTTCTGCAGCTCCTGAGGGGGCATCGATATGTATAAATTATTAAAATAAATAAAGGTTACATTTTGTTTAATATTTCCTTTTGAGAAGGCGGAAAAGTGAGTGACACGTTTTAGAAGGATTTCTATACGACGTGATTGACTTTGTTAGGTAAAGAATTCTAAGTGTGCGTTCAAATCAGAACCCTGGTGAATTGCTGGGAGGAATTTAAAAGGGTGCACCCTCCGTGGAAAACGGTATGACTGTTCCTCAAAAAATTAAACATAGAATTACTACATGACCCAACAATTCTATTTCAACATATATACCCTCAAAAATTGAAAGCAGGCACTTGAACAGGCATTTGTACACCAAATTTCATAGCAATGTTATTCACAATAGCCAAAAGGTGGAAAAAAACCCAAATGCCCATCAGTGGATAAAGGAATAAACAAATTACGGTATACACATGCATGCAGCTTTAAAAAGCAATGGAATTCTGATACACACTCAACACAGGTTCATGCACAGGTAGGGTCTCTAGCGGCTGCAGGCTGCCTGCCAGGGCCTTTCTTTGTTCTGCGCCACCCCCTAGTCGTCAGTGCACATTAATATGAGCTATCGAACTCCCAGTCTGTTGAACTCCCGAGGGGATACTTTGTATATATTAGGCTTTTATATATATACTAGAAGCCCGTTGCATGAAGATTTGTGCAATAGGCCTTCCTTCCCCTGATTCCTGGAACTGGTTTTCCTCTGGCACCCAGGACCCAGGCCTTTGGTCTGGCTGCAGCAAGGATTGGCCT